TCTCTGCGGCAACAACACAACCTTAAAAAAAAAAAAAAAAAAAAAAAAAAAAAAGAACTGAAAAAAGGAGGTCAAACAAAAACTTATACGTGAATGCTCACAGCAGCTTTATCCACAACAGCCAAAAGGTGGAAACAGTCCAAGTGCCCCTCAACTGATAAAATTTCTGGTGGGACTGTGAAATGGTGCAGCTGCTGCAGAAACAGTTTAGTGAGGCCTCCAAAAGTTAAACATGGAATTATCACACAACCCAGCAAGTCTGCTCCTGGGTACAGGGCTGAAAGAACTGAAGACAGGTACTCAGGCAAGTACACGTGCATGCATGCTCACAGCAGCCTCCTCACAACAGCCGAAAGGTGGGAACAGGCCATATGTCTATCAGTAGATGAATAGAGTAACCGAATGCAGAATATCCATATAATGGAATATTATTCAGCCACAAAAAGGAAGGAAATGCTGATACACGCTGGGGCATAGATGCTAAGTGATACAAGCCAGACACCGGAGGTCTCGTGCTGTACGAGTCCATTTCTACAAAGTGCTCAGAGGGGGCAAATCCATCGAGAACAAATTGATTAGTGGTTGCCAGGGGCTTCAGGAAGGGGAAGTTGGGCAAGGGGTGGTAACTGCTTAATGGGTACAGGGTTTCCTTTTGGGGTGATGAAAATGCTTTAGAACTGGAGAGAGGTGGTAGTTACACAATAAAGTGAATGTACATGCCACGGAACTGCACACTTTAAAATGCTTCAAAGGTAAATTAAGTTCTGTGTATCTGGCCACACTTAAAACAATTTAACAAGCTTTTGCTCACTTGATCTGAAGACAGGTCTCAGATCACCCCTTAGCCTCCTTGTTTCCTTGCTGGGCATTATCTGGCGGGACCGTCTCACCTCTCGGCCCCACCTGGACAAAAGCAGGTCCACTGGCTTTCAGGCCAAACTCAACTGTGTCACGTGTGGACACATGGCCCAGCCATCGCCAATATGCTACCTGGTACCACCGGCAAGCTGACTTTGCTGTATATGGCTGCCATCGACCCTCAAGTGGCACCTGGGCAACAGGACAGGAGAGAGTCCAAAGGGCACAGGTGAGCTGAGGATACCCTCTGAAAACCAAATCCCAGGAGGACGCTGGCAGCCACTCTTAAAGGAGAAGAGCTGCTTTCTCCCAATGGAAAGCACCTCTGTGACCCAACAGCCCTTCCTTTGGTCATCCCACCAAC